AGCTCATGGGCACTCCATGAAATTGCTGAGCGATCGGGTTAGAACGGATAAAAGGAAGTACTTCTTCACCCAAAGAGTGATTAATACATGGAATTCACTGCCACAGGAGGTGGGGGAGGCTACAAGCATGAACGGCTTCAAAGGGAATTAGATAAGCATATGGAGCGGAGGTCCATCAGTGGCTATTAGCCACAAGGTATAGATAGGGACTCTGGGGCAAGTGATGCTCTGTCTTCTTGGTACTTGGGGGGGTCAACAGTGGGAGGGCTTCTAATGTCCTGGCCCCACTGGTGGACCTCCTGACGGCACCTGGTATTTTTGGCCACTGTGTGACGGAGTGTTGGACTGGATGGGCCTTTGGCCTGATCCAACATTGGCATCTCTTATGTTCTTATGTTCTTATGTTAACCAGCATTCAGCTCACAAACTATCATTCAAACATCAGTTTTCTTGACATGTGCTGCTAGGGATGGGCACAAACTGCATTTTTGTGGTTCAGTTCTTGGATGAACCACGAACCAAACCATGAACTGATACAGTTTACAAACTGAACCAGTTTGTATGGGTTCATGACCTTGCTTTCTGCTCCCCACTACTTTCTGCAGGGAGAAGAGCAGGGGTTTAAACAGCTCCAAGCCATTTCACCCTCTGCTTTCTGCTCCCTGTGAAAAGCCTGCCAAAAGCAGCAAAAGCATCAGCAGATCCTAACTTGACAGACCCTTACTTACCCTAATTACCATAAATGCCTGCATTCAGATGATCAGATTAATGTTTTAATTGTTTTATCTCAATGTTTATGAATGATGTAGATCACTTAAAGCCCTGCACTGCAGGGATTAGAAGATTAACAAATTTAAGATATAAATAGATACAACAAATTAATTAACCGTAGTTAGTTTAATTAGCCGCCCTGAGCCATTCGCGGGATGGGCGGGGTATAAATATGATAAATAAATAAATAAATAAATAACACATGGTTAGGCGTGCTGTCTGAACCAAACCAAAGTTTTGATGCTTAAAAAACAGGATTTGGCCACAAAATTCTCTAGGTCATTAGAGATTAACTTCGGAACTGCAAAAATACATACAGTATTTACTCAAATGCAAGACTAGGCATTGTTCCCAGGTGTCCCATTAAAAAAAAGGAGGGGGTGCTTAGAAGTTACAGTTACCTTCAACACTAAGTGTGTGTGTGTGTGTGTGTAACATTTTTAAAGGGATTGCCTTACATTCAGGGACATCTTCCTCTTGAGTAAACACAATATTGTTTCTTAAACAAGAAGCACTAAGACCCTTTATCTAGTTTCAGAGAGAGAACAATCTAATCATAGACTTCAATTGCCTGAGAACTATGATGACAATGAATAATATTGCCAACCGATTCTTAAAAGCAGTGACCATTGCTAAACTCCAACAACTGGCTTGCTGTTGTAGGGGCACTGTGTACATAGAGTGGTTTTTCTGCACCTACAAATCAACACTGGATACTGTCATGCATGAACTGAAGGGACGGATCCAAAGGTCAGCCTTCCTTCTGTACACATCACTCAGTACTCTATTGTGGGATGACATTTGTATGTGCATCCAACCAGTTTGATGTGGTATCCAGCACCCCTGTCTTGGAAGACAGCACCTTCTGACACATCTCTGGGTGGCTATGGGACTGCGCATCTGTACAGGCCCATAGGTGCCGCTGTACTATATAAACATATGTCAACATGTTAGGGATTGGGGGACAGCAAGAATGAAAAGAACCTTTGCATTGTGGAGGTTCACTCCAGTTTGCAGAGTCTGAGCCTTGTAATGCACAAGTAACCATAGGATTTCCAACAAGGGAATAGCCGGCATCACAGACATAGATAACAGACATCTGATAGGTGAAGTTTGCTCTAAAATAGCGTCCATGGGCAACCTGTGGGGGCAGTGGGCATCTCATAACTGAAAAGGAATGATACAAGATGTCAACTGAGGATTAACAGCATTTGCTCAATTTACTTATGCCCAGAAAACCAAGTTAGACAGGAAAAGAAGATACCTTCACACTGAGGTATAGGCTGACTCCATGCTCCAGAAGCTGTACAGTGACTGGAGGCATCGCCAACGTGCAGGTAGCCAGGGTTACAAGAATAATTTACGTATGTGCCAACAGGAAAGTTTGCCAATCCATGGCCATCGTGCTCACCATTGGAAATAGGTGGAGGAGGATTACACTGCAGTACTAAAGCAAAATTATGTGAGTGCCCTGCTTCTCTCAAAACAAACGCTCGGCAGAGTACTGGGCCCAAACCTCTGAAATCTTGTGTAAGGATTGCCTCTTCACGAGCACACAGTGTTGTGTATGTAGTTCCTTGGTATATTACATTTCTGTTCCATCCAACACCTTTTGGATTTATCCCCATGACCCAAGCAGCATGATGACTCCAGGGACCACTTGTTGTGGCTGCTTTCACATGGTGATAATTCATTGCCACTGTAACCTGCACCTTTCCCCTTACATCTCCAAAATGAAAGGGGATAGAGACTTGATGGTTTAAAAAAAATGAACTAGCACATCATCACAATATTGTATACCATGGCTAAATCTATGGCTATTTGTCAACTATCGATTTTTTAAAAAGGAAAAAGAAAACATGTTGATGGAAGGATGAAATGGCAGCCACGGAAGCTGAGGTAAGGGAAAAGGCACTAATGCTGGCAGGATCTATGAAAACACACAACTTCCTGTCCATATGATATCGAAAGGCCGTGAGGTTTCCAAAAAAGGCCATATCAAATCAGGTTTGGGAGAAATAGCAGCAAAGTAGGGGGAAACATAGAAACAGGACAGACGGCAACATCACATGGATGCTCCTGAAAACATCACTGCAATAATGAAGTCCAGGTGGAGCAAAGCATCTGCGTGAAAGCAGCCTGACTCCAAACGATTCTCAGTTCTCTTCTGGAATTCTCAACATCCTTAACTTGGTTTTTTCCCCCCTGCTGCTTTCTTCCCAACCCCCCTATTCTTGTACATCCATCATCCAGCTGTGTTCATTCTTAACCTAACAGCAGCCCAATAATATACAGCACTTATGTTGCATGAACTTTGTTCAGTTCCCCAGTGCTGCCCAGAAAGCGCATTAACACTCAAGACAATTTGTAATTCTGGTTCGATGTCCGGTTACAATAGGCAGGAGAACACAGAAATTGTTCAAAAAATCAGGAACCTGGCTAATTTAAGACAATCCACAATAACCAAGATAACCCTATCTTTGCCATTCATCCTTGCTGCAATGAGCAATGCTGCTCAGTAACTTAGATGCCTCAGCTCTACCCACATATTGTCAGTAGAGGTAAGTATGGAGTGATCCCTGTGAATCCCTCTTTGCAGAGGGGTGCTGATGATTTCATCCTAATTCATTTAAGTGTTGCATATGCACATGAGTGTTTCATTGATTCCTTTCCCCTTTCTCCGCTGAAAGATGCCAATTAACTACAATGGAAGGGAGGCAGTTTGGCATGCTGTGCTCATTGTCAAAGAAGTCATCACATGTAAGAAACTCACCTTTGCAGCGAGGGGCAGGGAGAGTCCATGTGCCAGATTCAGTGCAATACATGGCTGCCTCACCAATCAGAGTGTACCCGTGCTCACATGTGTATTTCACAGACATTCCAGCACTGAACACTGCTGCTTCCTGGTTGCTGTGAAACCCATTTTGGACTTGTGGGGGTCTGTGGCATTGCAGGACTGAAGGGAGAAAGAGAGAAGGTTACTGCAGAACTGTTGACTGAATTATGCTTCAAGGCCTCACATGCTACTTTCTGTCACATGTTTTCCATTAGACTCATGGCTGTATGCATTCAATGCATCGGATTTCTTTAGTCACAAGGGCAACTGTGTGCAGGACATGGTGCTGGGGGGAGAACAATGTGAGAGTACAAAGCTCTGTGTCAGGTATTATATCTGTGTATCTCTTGGGCAAAATTCTGCTCACGCCATGCAATTTTAATCCTACAGCCATGGGGAGTTTGGGTCATTCTGTGGAACAACAACACTATCAGGTACTCCAGCTTTGGGAGAAAAATCCCTAACATGTACAGACATCTAAGTCTGGAGGTTTTTCACCTCAGGTCCTGAACCTGCTTCAAAGTGAAATGGATGTGATCTATAGATCATATTCGGACTATATTAAGAAAAATGATCTGCGTGGAGAAATAGTGGTTAGATTTTCAAAAAGACATGTGAGGGGTCAAATCTTGAAAGCAACAACAGGAACGCCCCTGAAAATCAATGGAAATACTATTCAGAGCCTAAAAGACATTTCATTTGAAATTAGGAAGAAGAGGAAGAAATTCAAAGAGTTGGCTTTATTTTTACAAACAACATACAGTACAAATGGCTGATCCCTGAAGGCCTACTCTTCAGAATAAATGATAAAAAAGAAAGAATTCACACTGTTAAGAAAGCAAACAGGTTTTTGAAGCAGCAACTGGGAAGGTCCAGAGAAGACGACAAAGAAGTCGACCAAGATAAAGAAAGTGGTAAAGACACTTCTTCAACTACTGAGGAGGACTCTGAGTCAGATTTGGGGACTGTGGCCCCCAAAAGAGACTATGATTTGAGGAAAAGAAAAGTCAAGAAATGAGATGCTGAGGAACTCTGAATTCCACTTTCAAGAAGCTGTATTTTTTTTATGCTTGATGCTTTTCTGATTGTCTTAAACAGTAACTGATATCGGGTTTTGGGGAATAGTAGCTAGATTTAAAAATTCAAGTTCATTGTAATATTAATAGAATAGATTAAGCTTATGTAATGATCTTCATTACTTGGCTTTTTAGTGATTAACTTTCCTTTCTCCTGTAGATATTAGATCCCCTACCCTATTTTTCTTTGTAGTTTATAGAAAATCAATTAAAAATCCCCTTTGGGGGTCCAAAATAAAGAAGAGAACAACAGACATAGAGTATGGGTTGTATCAAACCAATTGGAAACCGGGCAAGTTCTCAGAAAGGATCTTTGCCACATCATCCTTCCCACAGCAGCTCCCTACACTTTTTCACCTTTTTAGATTTGGCATCAACTTCCTTCAATGTCTCTGCTGTTTGCTCTGATAATTTCTTAGTCTCGTTTAGTTCCAGTTGTCGTGCAGCAAAGTTCTGGTTCAAAGTAGTCAGTTGCTGATTGATGTTAGTCATCTGGTCCAGCAGAGGGCGCAAAGAGTCAGCTAATAGCTGTGAAAGCTCGCTGGTAATTTCCGGTTGTGGGCTTCTACTTCCAGAAGGAGGCTTTAACTGCAATGGTTTCTCTTTCTCGCCTTTCCGCCCCGCCATTTTTGAGGATTGTTTACTTTTTAAGAAAGTTTGCCAAAGTCTCTGTTTTCCACTAAAACACTTAAGTGTGCTTTTGTGTGTTCCAGCGCCCTCTTTTTAAAATGCTCCGTTTGACTTTCGCGTCTGGGAGTTCCTCCCCACACTCGCTTGAAAAAGAGGCGCTTTCTCACCAAAGTTCGGTGTTCTGCTTTCAACTCAACTCACAGTTCATCGTTGGTCTTAAGACCCACCTGAGGTACATGTAATACGCCCGATCTTCACACGCTTGTCTCGGTCAGCTACTCTTTAGCCATATAGCCACACAGCGGTAGGACCTTCGGGACGGAGGGAAGCTTCGATTCCCCGGCATCAAGCTAGTTAAAGAGGCAAACCCTCAAAAGCCCCCTGGCTAGGAGCCCTATCCCAAAGGGCTCCGGGGGCGTAGCAGACAGTCGCCCCCCTCCTAGCCACTGGCGTTCAGATCGCGGCCCCGGGAGCTCACCAGCGTTGCGTCTGCCATTGTGCCGCCAAAAAATGGAAGTCTATGTCTGTTGTTCTCAAACAGTGGTATGTACCACCGGTAGGATTATCCCAATATCCAACTGCAAGTGTGACATGCTATGTTCTGCAATCCTTACGTGCTACAGATTATCCACCTTAGATATTTTGGTATGCTAGGAGTAATAACAGAATGTCCATAAACGTACAAAAATCTTTCTCAGAAAAAGGGGGGGGTTGTCATGGAGGGTCCCAGAATCTTTGAGAGAATGAATGCTAGAGACATAAGATGCAAAAGGCTGAGAAACACTCTCCTCTGTAATGAGGCTTCCAAAAGGCCCTCCAGGTAGTTGGGTGCCCTTTATATTATTGCTGGAGTCTTTGGGCGGAGATACGTAGAGAAATGTATGTTTCCTGGTCAGCCCCTGTTCCAGTGGTTAGAACTAATATTCCAAGAGCCAACAGTTAAAAACAGTTCAAGGCTGGAATTATTACACTTACATTTTGTTTCATTGTAAACTCCAATTTCCACCCATTTTTTAAAAATCTGTTTGACTAAAATAAATGACCAAGTGTGTTACAGAAACAGAATTTAATATGGCTTCACCTTTACACTGAGGGATGGGTGACTCCCACATTCCAGAAGTCAGACAGTATATTGTTGCTGTACCAGTGAGAAAGTAACCTGGGTCACAATGGTAAGTCACGGAGGACCCATGGGCAAAATCTTCCAAAACTTCAGCGTCAGGTTTCCCATTAGCAATCTCTTGAGGTGCAGGACATCCTATGGAGAAAACGTTTCAATATGAATCGAGTAAACCAAAATTTGCATTATAGCCTAACCCAGAATCTCTTACATTTCCATTAATTGAGTATATTAATCTCAGGAGACTTCATTTCCATTTAGATGTATTTACTTATTACATTTATACCCCCTTTTCCTTGAGGTTCAATTTTAGTTAAAAACATTAGGACTGCATTGTTTGATTCTGAAACCCTGCACCAAAGTGAACCTTGAAGATCAGGGGAGATGAAATTTGAATGATATAATAACATTACAAAATAACGTTTTCAGAGGCTGAAATTAAACCAAACAGCTGAGCAGCAGGGAGCAGCAAGCAGGGGTTTAAATAAGTAAAGCAACGTCAGATCCTGGTTTGATGGACCCTAACTTACCCTAATTACCATAAATGCTCACATTCAGACAATCACATTAACCATACTAAGTTTAATTAACACATGCTTTCATGCGCTGCCTAAACAAAACCAATGTCTCAAAAAATGGGATTTGGCCACCAAATTCATGAAGTCATTAAAGAAGAACTGCACTTCTGAACTGCAAAAATATTTACCCAAATGCAAAACTAGGTGTTTTCCCCAGGTGTGCCATCCCTCCCAAAAAGGGGGGGGGTGCTTAGAAGTTACAGTTACCTTCAACAATAATTGTGTGTGTGTGTGTAATATTTTTAAAGGGATTGACTTACATTCAGGGACATCCTCCTCTTGAGTAAACACAATATTGTTTCTTAAACAAGAAGCACTAAGACCCTTTATCTAATTTCAGAGAGAAAAAATCTAATCATAGACTTCAATGGCCTGAGAACTATGACGAAAATGAATAATATTGCCAACCGATTCTTAAAAGCAGTGATCATCGCTACACTCCAACAACTGGCTTGCTGTTGTAGGGGCATTGTGTACATGGAGTAGTTTTTCTGCACCTACAAATCAACACTGAATACTGTCATGCATGAGCGAAAAGGACGGATCCAAAGGTCAGCCTTCCTTCTGTACACATCACTTAGTACTCTATTGTGGGATGACATTTGTATGTGCATCCAACCAGTTTGATGCGGTATCCAGCACCCCTGTCTTGGAAGACAGCACCTTCTGACACATCTCTGGGTGGCTATGGGACTGCGCATCTGTACAGGCCCATAGGTGCCGCTGTACTATATAAACATATGTCAACATGTTAGGGATTGGGGGACAGCAAGAATGAAAAGAACCTTTGCATTGTGGAGGTTCACTCCAGTTTGCAGAGTCTGAGCCTTGTAATGCACAAGTAACCATAGGATTTCCAACAAGGGAATAGCCGGCATCACAGACATAGATAACAGACATCTGATAGGTGAAGTTTGCTCTAAAATAGCGTCCATGGGCAACCTGTGGGGGCAGTGGGCATCTCATAACTGAAAAGGAATGATACAAGATGTCAACTGAGGATTAACAGCATTTGCTCAATTTACTTATGCCCAGAAAACCAAGTTAGACAGGAAAAGAAGATACCTTCACACTGAGGTATAGGCTGACTCCATGCTCCAGAAGCTGTACAGTGACTGGAGGCGTTGCCAACGTGCAGGTAGCCAGGGTTACAAGAATAATTTACGTATGTGCCAACAGGAAAGTTTGCCAATTCGTGGCCATCGTGCTCACCATTGGAAATAGGTGGAGGAGGATTACACTGCAGTACTAAAGCAAAATTATGTGAGTGCCCTGCTTCTCTCAAAACAAACGCTCGGCGGAGTACTGGGCCCAAACCTCTGAAATCTTGTGTAAGGATTGCCTCTTCACGAGCACACAGTGTTGTGTATGTAGTTCCTTGGTATATTACATTTCTGTTCCATCCAACACCTTTTGGATTTATCCCCATGACCCAAGCAGCATGATGACTCCAGGGACCACTTGTTGTGGCTGCTTTCACATGGTGATAATTCATTGCCACTGTAACCTGCACCTTTCCCCTTACATCTCCAAAATGAAAGGGGATAGAGACTTGATGGTTTAAAAAAAATGAACTAGCACATCATCACAATATTGTATACCATGGCTAAATCTATGGCTATTTGTCAACTATCGATTTTTTAAAAAGGAAAAAGAAAACATGTTGATGGAAGGATGAAATGGCAGCCACGGAAGCTGAGGTAAGGGAAAAGGCACTAATGCTGGCAGGACCTATGAAAACACACAACTTCCTGTCCATATGATATCGAAAGGCCGTGAGGTTTCCAAAAAAGGCCATATCAAATCAGGTTTGGGAGAAATAGCAGCAAAGTAGGGGGAAACATAGAAACAGGACAGACGGCAACATCACATGGATGCTCCTGAAAACATCACTGCAATAATGAAGTCCAGGTGGAGCAAAGCATCTGCGTGAAAGCAGCCTGACTCCAAACGATTCTCAGTTCTCTTCTGGAATTCTCAACATCCTTAACTTGGTGTTTTTTTCTGCTGCTTTCTTCCCAACCCCCCTATTTGTACATCCATCATCCAGCTGTGTTCATTCTTAACCTAACAGCAGCCCAATAATATACAGCACTTATGTTGCATGAACTTTGTTCAGTTCCCCAGTGCTGCCCAGAAAGCGCATTAACACTCAAGACAATTTGTAATTCTGGTTCGATGTCCGGTTACAATAGGCAGGAGAACACAGAAATTGTTCAAAAAATCAGGAACCTGGCTAATTTAAGACAATCCACAATAACCAAGATAACCCTATCTTTGCCATTCATCCTTGCTGCAATGAGCAATGCTGCTCAGTAACTTAGATGCCTCAGCTCTACCCACATATTGTCAGTAGAGGTAAGTATGGAGTGATCCTAATTCATTTAAGTGTTGCATATGCACATGAGTGTTTCATTGATTCCTTTCCCCTTTCTCCGCTGAAAGATGCCAATTAACTACAATGGAAGGGAGGCAGTTTGGCATGCTGTGCTCATTGTCAAAGAAGTCATCACATGTAAGAAACTCACCTTTGCAGCGAGGGGCAGGGAGAGTCCATGTGCCAGATTCAGTGCAATACATGGCTGCCTCACCAATCAGAGTGTACCCGTGCTCACATGTGTATTTCACAGACATTCCAGCACTGAACACTGCTGCTTCCTGGTTGCTGTGAAACCCATTTTGGACTTGTGGGGGTCTGTGGCATTGCAGGACTGAAGGGGGAAAGAGAGAAGGTTACTGCAGAACTCTTGACTGAATTATGCTTCAAGGCCTCATATGCTACTTTATGCCACATGTTTTCCATTAGACTCATGGCTGTATGCATTCAATGCATCGGATTTCTTTAGTCACAAGGGCAACTGTGTGCAGGACATGGTGCTGGGGGAAGAACAATGTGAGAGTACAAAGCTCTGTGTCAGGTATTATATCTGTGTATCTCTTGGGCAAGATTCTGCTCACGCCATGCAATTTTAATCCTACAGCCATGGGGAGTTTGGGCCATACTGTGGAACAACAACACTATCACGTACTCCAACTTTGGGGGGGAAATCCCTAACATGTACAGACATCTAAGTCTGGAGGTTTTTCACCTCAGATCCTGAACCTGCTCCTGTCCCACAGAAACACATTCTCGTCAAAAGTGGAAGAAACCCAACCAAAGTCTTACATACTTCTGACACAGCGAGGCACAGGAAAATCCCACGTGCTGTCCGATTGGCATTGAATTGTAGTGTTGCCTTTCAAGATATAACCATGGTGACACTCAAAAGTGACTTTCTCCGTTGGCTGAAACAGCAGTTTAGAGCTTGATTTTCTTCCATTCTGAATTTCTGGACCATCACATCCCTTGACTGTAAATGTAAATCCAATATTAGACCCAGCATATGGACTACAGATGTGATATGTGCTGAGAGGGATAGGGCTATAGCTTCCATCTCCTTCTCTGTGCATACAGTGTCCCAAGTTCAACCTAGCCACCATCCATGTCTTTATAGGTGATGTGAAAGACCTGGAGGGGGATAGCTAGTCACACTAGGCAGTATAAATGTTGATTGTAGGGATGCTGCAAATTTCACTGTGAACATCTATGGAACAACAGCACTATCACGTACTCCAAGTTTTGGGGGAAAATCCCTAACATGTACAAACACCTAAGTCTGGAAGTTTTTCGCCTCAGATCCTGAACCTGCTCCTGTCCCACAGAAACACATTCTCGTCAAAAGTGGAAGAAACCCAACCAAAGTCTTACATACTTCTGACACAGCGAGGCACAGGAAAATCCCACGTGCTGTCCGATTGGCATTGAATTGTAGTGTTGCCTTTCAAGATATAACCATGGTGACACTCAAAAGTGACTTTCTCCATTGGCGGAAACAGCAGTTTAGAGCTTGATTTTCTTCCATTCTGAATTTCTGGACCATCACATCCCTTGACTGTAAATGTAAATCCAATATTAGACCCAGCATATGGACTACAGATGTGATATGTGCTGAGAGGGATAGGGCTATAGCTTCCATCTCCTTCTCTGTGCATACAGTGTCCCAAGTTCAACCTAGCCACCATCCATGTCTTTATAGGTGATGTGAAAGACCTGGAGGGGGATAGCTAGTCACACTAGGCAGTATAAATGTTGATTGTAGGGATGCTGCAAATTTCACTGTGAACATGTGTCAGTAAGCTGCCAATTCTTTTTCTTCCATTTTCCTCTGTATCTCTATCGATGCGCTTGACTGCTTTTGTTTTCATATGTATGCCTGGTGATGCGCTTAATTGCTTAGCTGCTGTAACGTGTATATCTCTCAGGGCCACAGGTGGTTCGCTGCTAGATAGTTGCTTGGGTGATCTCACGGAGTTGCCGTGGGAAGAAGATATGTTTATGCCGCCTAGTATCGTTAGCTCCCAGGCCTGATGGCGCGCGCGGGAACTCCAGTAATTGGGCCTCAGTTGTTTGAATGCACTATAACCCGTCATGTCCTTTGATTCCCCTCATTCCTAACAGTGATCCTGTACATGCATCTATAGCTTCAAATAAAGTAAAACCTTTCTACAAGAGTGTGCTTCTTTGATGCTGTGGGAGCCTGACAACATGTTTGATTGTTGATCTTACCACTTTCTAAGGTAGCAATCAGATCTGAGCTGATCACTTGGGGTGTTTGATTTGTGCTGAGCAGGTGCTCATGCCTGACAAACTGGTTTGCATCGGGTGTTTCCAAAACTGCCCATGTGCAAGGATACTGCTGATTCAAACTGATCAGCAGTCATTAGCATCACTAAGGAATGCTTTGCCAAACACTGAAGGGTAGGTTTTTCCTGAAACACAGCATTCATCGACTGATTTATATGGATTGTGAGTGAGCTTTCTATTTAAGCAATTGCCTGCCAAACACTGAAGTTATACAGCAAGGCTGGGAAGGTAGTAGACTTCAATCAGCTGTGTGAGAACCTGTATACACTTAAAAGCAAATTGTGCTGTTCTGTACTGTATGGTTAGTAAGGAATACAGTGAAACAACCTGTCAATCTCCCAGAAACAGACTGACAAACTATCAAACTGTCCATCAAAAAATAATGGCTCTGTTTGCAACTAGTGGACAGGAAGAAGAAGAGAAGAGATTGGATTTATACTCCACCTCTCAGAGTGATTTACAATCTCCTTCCCTTCCTCTCCCTGCAACGGACACCCTGTGAGGTAGGTGAGGTAGGTGGGGCTGAGAGAGCTCTGAGAGAACTGCTCTTGAGAGAACAGCTCTGAGAGAACTGTGACTAACCCAAGGTCACCCAGGAGCTGCATAGAGGTGCAGGGAATCAAACCCAGTTCTCCAGATTAGAGTCCACTACTTTTAACCACTACACCAAACTGAGCCAAACTGGTATTCAAGCATCTTAATACAGTGTTTAAAATGTGGGTTTTCCTTGATATGTTATCAAGCCCATTTAATGATCATTAATTTGTTATAACCTTCAGCAGCCAATGTGCAAGTTGTTGTCCCTTTGCCGATTGTCCTTCAGTAAGAGATATCTGAGGAATCT